ATTGCATGAACATAAATTGCATACGTTGTAGATTTAAAAATATGTGTACACTTGTCGTTACGGGTTTGCCATTATATGTCTGACGCTCGGCACCTAGGACACCCATGCAAACGAAATGTTACATCTCAAGAAATTATCCACGTTAATATGTTACTAATAATATGTTACTAATAATATACAGCGTGGTGCCACACGTGACGTTACACACAGTGCCACTGCGTGGTGCCATACGTGACGTTACACACAGTGCCACCGCTTGGTGCCACAGCGTGGTGCCACACGTGACGTTACACACAGTGCCACCGCGTGGTGCCACCGCGTGGTGCCACAGAGTGACGTTACACACAGTGCCACCGCGTGGATCCAGTTTCGCGCGGCGTTCGTGTTCAGTGAAGGGCAATGCGCTCGTCGCGTTGCGATGCAGGAGATGCTTTGGCATTTCCGCCGTGACGCCTGTGCACAGAGGGCAGCAGGCACGAGAGAGGGCGCCATGAAATCCCAGCCACAGTCATGGCAACTTCGCACCGCTGAGCACCGCTGCACATCACTCGCGCATGTTTTTGAGTTGCGATTGTTGCCAGCGCATCGTGAGTAGTATTACGAGTAGAGAACCCATTGTTCAGCTGTCATTTTCATACTCTTCTCGTCGTCGTCTACTCGGAGCGCTCAACGTAATCTGGTCTTTTGTGTAATCATAAAATGCCAAGATTATATGTATTTTATATTCTTGAGGATTTAAAGGATATTCCGGCGAAAGAGATTACATCAATGGGAGCACAAATTTAACAGTTAGACCGACTTTAAGTGAACCGTGGTTAGTCTTCTGTGTTCGTTGCTCCCACATCGTCGGTATTTCTATCTGTTCTTGAATGTTTCCGAACTTATTGAGCTGTTTCTATTCAATTCAGTTGTTTATACACGGAAAATCCCGTGCAGTCAGTTACCCAGCTAGCTTTAGTGGCAACGCCCCACAGCAGCCACTAACAAGAGAGTTATTGTTGGGGGTAGAAAGGAGCCCAGCCAGCAGCCAGGCAGGAAATTTGAGGCATAGATTATTGTGAATACGTAGTACTTTGATTCTGCTTGTTTATCCATAAAAAAACCTCACTGAGTCTCGAGAGACTCGTTCTGAAGTGGGTTTCTGTTTAAGTTTTCACAGCTGGGTGCGATTTGCGGGTAAGTTTCTCAAACTTGGCAAATTTGGAGATCGTGATGCTGACACGTGATGTCACGGGGCCTTTAACGTCCATTTTTAAGCGGAATCCGCGTTTTTTATGGTAAAGTATTAACCAGGTCGGCCTGACGGATTCGAACCACGATACTCTGCAACCAGGAGCGAACGCGTTACCGCTAGGTCATGTGACCGCCGTAAACGCGTAGTCGGTAATAAACTACGATATAGTTTAAGCTGTCGAGTGTACGGGCGGTGGAACTGCACCATGGTTCAAGGGCGCGAGGAACACAGTCGCCGGACTATGAATGGGGGGTGGGAGGCGGGGGGACGCCCGATATATGTACACCACGGTGGCTAGGAGATGTTAACTACCTCGCCTGGTATACAGGAGGTCGTGGGTTCCATCTCGACCCTGACGCCTGCTGTATATTTGGAATTTGCGTGTCTCTCTCTCTCTCATCTTCATCACGGTGGCTTGGAGATGTTAACTACCTCGCCTGGTATACAGGAGGTCGTGGGTTCAATCCCGACCCTGACGCCTGCTGCTGTATATTTGGAGTTTGCGTGTCTCTCTCTCATCATCATCACGGTGGCTTGGAGATGTTAACTACCTCGCCTGGTATACAGGAGGTCGTGGGTTCAATCCCGACCCTGACGCCTCCTGCTGCTGTATATTTGGAGTTTGCGTGTCTCTCTCTCATCATCATCACGGTGGCTAGGAGATGTTAACTACCTCGCCTGGTGTACAGGAGGTCGTGGGCTCAATCCCGACCCTGACGCCTGCTGCTGTATATTTGGAGTTTGCGTGTCTCTCTCATCATCATCACGGTGGCTAGGAGATGTTAACTACCTCGCTTGGTATACAGGAGGTCGTGGGTTCAATCCCGACCCTGACGCCTGCTGCTGTATATTTGGAGTTTGCGTGTCTCTCTCTCATCATCATCACGGTGGCTAGGAGATGTTAACTACCTCGCCTGGTGTACAGGAGGTCGTGGGTTCAATCTCAACCCTGACGCCTGCTGCTGTATATTTGGAGTTTGCGTGTCTCTCTCTCATCATCATCACGGTGGCTAGGAGATGTTAACTACCTCGCCTGGTATACAGGAGGTCGTGGGTTCAATCCCGACCCTGACGCCTGCTGCTATATATTTGGAGTTTGCGTGTCTCTTTCTCATCATCATCACGGTGGCTAGGGGATGTTAACTACCTCGCCTGGTATACAGGAGGTCGTGGGCTCAATCCCGACCCTGACGCCTGCTGCTGTATATTTGGAGTTTGCGTGTCTCTCTCTCATCATCATCACGGTGGCTAGGAGATGTTAACTGCCTCGCCAGGTATACAGGAGGTCGTGGGTTCAATCCCCACCCTGACGCCTGCTGCTTTATATTTGGAGTTAGCGTGTCTCTCTCATCATCTTCACGGTGGCTAGGAGATGTTAACTGCCTCGCCTGGTATACAGGAGGTCGTGGGTTCAATCCCGACCCTGACACCTGCTGCTGTATATTTGGAGTTTGCGTGTCTCTCTCTCATCATCATCATCACGGTGGATAGGAGATGTTAACTACCTCGCCTGGTATACAGGAGGTCGTGGGTTCATTCCCGACCCTGACGCCTGCTGCTGTATATTTGGAGTTTGCGTGTCTCTCTCTCATCATCATCACGGTGGCTAGGGGATGTTAACTACCTCGCCTGGTATACAGGAGGTCGTGGGCTCAATCCCGACCCTGACGCCTGCTGTTGTATATTTGGAGTTTGCGTGTCTCTCTCTCATCATCATCACGGTGGCTAGGAGATGTTAACTGCCTCGCCAGGTATACAGGAGGTCGTGGGTTCAATCCCCACCCTGACGCCTGCTGCTTTGTATTTGGAGTTTGTGTGTCTCTCTCTCATCATCATCACGGTGGCTAGGAGATATTAACTGCCTCGCCTGGTATACAGGAGGTCGTGGGTTCAATCCCGACCCTGACGCCTGCTGCTGTATATTTGGAATTTGCTTGTCTCTCTCTCATCATCATCACGGTGGCTAGGGGATGTTAACTACCTCGCCTGGTATACAGGAGGTCGTGGATTCAATCCCGACCCTGACGCCTGCTGCTGTATATTTGGAATTTGCGTGTCTCTCTCTCTCATCATCATCACGGTGGCTAGGGGATGTTAACTACCTCGCCTGGTATACACGAGGTCGTGGGTTCAATCCCCACCCTGACGTCTGCTGTATATTTGGAGTTTGCATCTCCCTCCCCTTCGGTTGTTCCCTCCACATTTAGAATCAACATGTGTTTTAGAGTATTTGGCTGCGATAAATTCCAACATGACATGCCACCTCGTTGAGCTATCATTTGTGACCAGGTCGCTTCTGAAGAAGAGCTATATACAAAAGTCTATTCCAAGTGATCGCTTCGCGTTGTCTGTACGCGCGCTATATAATAGCAGACAATCAGCGGATAGGCCGACACGGTGAATGCTGCCATTCGGTCTGGCAGATATTTAAATGCATTGTGCTCAGCTGGCAATTAGCAGGACAGGAACAATCAATAGAAGCAGCACGCCACGTGACCCGTGTTACTTGCCGGGTCACGCGGGTGTATGTGCAGTGGTTAACGGCGCTGCGCTACGAACCCGGTAACTCGAGTTCCATTCCCAGCCACGGCGGTGATCATCGGAACAGGTCCTGGGCCTCATGAGTACTCGATACACTGTGTAAATATCGGCACTAGGAAGACAAAGACGGCCAGGTGTGGTTGTGACCACACCACCCTCCTATGTGCCGTGCTGACCTTCATAGGTGCTCGTGAACAGCACTTGCTCCTTACCGTCTGTTAAGGCTATACGGGTGATCTTTGTTGTTTGTGTGTATATATGTGTATACACGTGTGGGAGGAGGGGGGATGTGGTGTCGTGAGTGGTGAATGCTATGAGCCGCGACCCAGCGACCTGGGTTCGATTCCCTGCCACGGATAACATCAGTAGCAAATGGCATCTGATCGTGCCCTCGGCTTGCACTTGATCGATTTAGCCTTAAATTGGGCGGTCGAGCGTGGCGCTGGCTACATCAACTTCTTGTGCACCGTACTTACGGCCTTTAATAGGTAACAGCACTTGCCCCCACATTCTATATGTCTAAGCGAGGATCTTTCGCTGTGCGTTCGTGAGGTTACGGACATCGAGGTGCCGTTACGCGTGCGTGTTTAACCTGAATTCAAATGTACCTTCTCATAGTCGCATCAATTAAAACAATACTTTATCACAGTGGTGGAGCGGTGGCGCAGTGGTTAGCGCACTGCGCTATGAGCCCCCGCACCCGCAGCCTGAGCTCGACGCCTAGCCACGGCTAACATCAGTGGTGAGTGACGTCTGGACCGGTCTTGCGCTACACTGAGTAGCGTGGTGAAGTATGGTCAAAAATCCCATGACCGGCACGGTGTGGGGTGAAGGGGGGGGGGGGGCACTGTTCAGCAGTGGATTTACAAAAGGTGCCGTATTATATGTAAGTCAAAGATGAGTAATAGGATTTATCCGTGAAAGCTTTACCGTGTCTCAATGTTTTGTGTTCGTAGTGTCCTGCTGGTGATATTTGCCCAATTTATAATGTAAACATTGTGCGTGGATATAGTAATTGTATCCGTAGTGCTAATCATAGTCATGTCCTTTATTTAACGAAGGAAAGCCTCGTTGCAGTGGAATGTTTGGCAATTTCCAAACAGGTGCGAGAAAATCGGAGAACCTGGAGATATACCCACGCATGCACGTAGTCACTTCAAGATGTTGCTTGTTCATGTTTTTGTTTGTTGAGGTTGCATCCAAGTCAAGAGCCTCGTGGCTCACAGGGCTATACCAAATTCATGAAACTGAAAGCTCCGCACAGATAGATTCAAGAACTCAATGCTGTACTGTTATCTTCTCGCGATTGTTTTATGTGCTATCAAAAATGTCTTTCCAGAAACGTCGCCTTTTGAATAATTTATATTTTCATGCCACAGTGTTATTGAATAATGCTTTGGGTTTTTTTGCCTATCCATTTCGCTCCTCCCTCGTGTTCCCCTCTCCTCCCGTCTGCTTTCCCTCCCTTCCCATCTCCTCTCCCCCCCCCCACCCTCTCTCCACCTCACAGTACACTCCACGGCGGCTCCTTTCCTCACGAGACCTCTCCTGCTCGCCCTCAGCTCTCCTTTCGTGGTCTCTCTCCCGCGCCGCCGCCGCCGCCGCCGCTCGGAGCGGACACGAGGCAAACAGAGCGCACGACGCTCCGGGGGTGGGGGTTTAAACCCCGAACCGGGATCCTAGGGGGGAAGGGTGGGGGGCGGGCGTCCATGCAACCCCCCTGTGAAGACACCCCGAGCCGAGAGAGATTCGCCCTCGCTCGCCTGCCTCGCACACGCATCTCGAAAGCTTCGACCGCTGCCCGCAGGTGGTGGACCGCTCTGCGCTCCGCGCGAGTCGGTTCGGACGTGCGTTGAAAAGCTGCGCACGCGAGTGTGCGCATGTGGGTGTCTTTGCGCAGGTGAGTGATTGAGTGTGTCTGTGAGGGTGAGCGTGGGTGGTTGTGTGTGTTTGTCTAAGTGGGGAGCGGTAGTGTAGCGATGAGCGCAATACGCTCACGGCCAACACCAGTGAGGATTATCTGAACCGGTCCTCCCATAGGTCGACTCAGTCTCAAAATAAGTACCTGGAGCGATGTGTTAACTTTGCCACGAGGAAGACAAAGGAGGGTGGGCGTGGTGTTGGCCACCCACCCATTCGTGTGCCGTGCCGGCCTTCATAGGTGCTCGCTAACAGCACTTGTCCCTACAGTCTGTTAAGGTTAAACGGGGGATCTTTGTCTTTTGTCTGAAGAGCTGGTATTGTGGCGGACTGCGATACGAACCGGGCATGCAACCTGAGATCGATTCCCATGCCACTGTGAACATCAATGGCGAGCGATGTATGAACCGGTCTTGGTCATTCCCTAGATCGACTCAGCCTCAAATTAGTATACCGGACGCATTGTATATACCTCAGCAGCAGGGAGAGAGAGGTTGCCGCTGGACGTGGTTCTGGTCATACCATCCACCCCCTTCATGTAAGTGTCGTGTCGACCTTAATAGGTGCTCGCTAACAGAACTTGCCCGAACATTCTGTGTAGGCTATACGGGCGGGGGACAGGGCGCACCTTTGTCTTGTGTGTGTGTGTGTGTGCGTTTAAATACGATTGCGTAATTGTCCTGGGTGGTCCAGATGTCTTGTGACCCATATTTGATTCTCTGAAACTTAAAGTTTATTTTTTAAGTAAGGTTTATGAATGTGTAAAGAGGATTAAAAAAATGTTTAGGGGTTAATTAATTGGGGGGTCACACGACATCTTGACGCACGTGCCGTCTGCTACGCACATTAATGTGTGATCCTCTAATTCAATTAAACCCCAGCTGTCCATCGCGAATGAGTGCAGTGTGCAACCATCCATCAGTGCGGCCGCGTACATCCTAAATTGTCTTCTCTTGCAAAAAAAAACAGAAAATGTAATCAGACCGTGGGTACGGGAGGGAGTTGGGAATTGAAGGTTCTGCTTATAATTAAGAGCGATTCCCGTCTCAAACGCAACTGCCGGTGTTAATGGGGGGGGGGGGGCTGGAGGGGGGCTGGAGGGGGGGGGGGTTGACTTTACCGAAAGAACCCAGAAGATGAATCCCTGCAGTCACGAAAGCTTTAAATCGAAATTTAGTTGCATAGCTTGTGATGATGCCAAGGTCGGTCACTCGACCCCGCTGAAAAAAAGGTTCCATGCCGGCCAGCCTGTACGGACCGCCTCCACCCGGGGCCGTCGCTGACCACAACCCACTGTGGATGTGGTCAGCGACAGACAGACAAACGGACGGTGTCATCGCATTTGGCCCAAGAATGGATCCCGCGTCCGGTCCCGGCGATGGTCCCAGAGCCCTTCCTCCCACGCTGCTCATGAAGCGGCTATCGCTTGGCTCGGCAAAGACGAGCGCGTGCGATGCAAACAAAAAATCGTCATGTTATCATCATCTTAATCATTATCGCCCTGCCATCATGATCACGTTCATCATGATCATCATCATCATCTCTCAATCACCATCTCATCCTCATTCTAATCATCATCGTCGCCATCGTCTCATTTGTCAGGAGCACTTCGAATGGTTACGGAACTACGAGCAGAGGTGATGCGCTGCGTCGCGTCCTGTACAGAGAGGTTTAGAGGCATTTAGGAGATAGACACAGAGAGACACACAGAGAAAGACACACGGAGAAATGGACAGAAACAGAGAGACGGAAGGTGGCGAGAGACACGCAGAGAGCACGGAAAGAGAGAGAGAGACGCACACACGGAGAGAGACATGAGAGCGACATACTGAGCGAGAGGCCGACAGACACACATACAGTGGGCTAATTGTGAATTTGAGATGTATGTATGTGGGATTTCTTCTGCACCATACGTAGCCAACCACACTAATCGGAGGGGCGAGGGAAGGACAACAACCTAAACACAGAAAGCTGTTCTCAAGAAATGGGATTTCAATCTCGATCATTTAAAAGTGCATAGCTCCAGTGGCATCCTAATATTGGAAGGAAGAGCGTTGCAGATGGCCGCAGAAGCGCATCTGAAAGCGCGCGATGCGGTGACCGTCTTTGTAGGAGGGCCGAAAGCCGCTGCGATGGCTGATGGACAAGACTGGTGATAGAACGGCCGCCGTGCGTGGAAACATAGTCACGGCTAACATCAGTGGCGAGTGATATCTGTACCGGCTGTGCCCCCCCCCTCTCTCTCTGCATTGTCCAGAATAGTGAAGTATGGTCAAACAACCGATAACGACCGACACTGCTGGCCTTCAGCCAGCAGTGGATTGACAGAGGACTGTACATTTTCGTTAATATTCTTATTGTTGTGGCACTAACCCGAATATTGAATTGATGTGGATCGCAGGGTTATTGTTTGGTGCAACACGAGAGTAGCATAACGCTATCAAGGTCAGGTCGCCAGAGTACAACACGGAGGATCTCCGGTCTCAGAGGACTCGCTCACCTGCTACCGATTGAAGGTCGTTGATTGATCGGCTCACATTGCTCTGGACATTTTCTTAAACGCGAGTGTCGCTTGCGTCATTCACAGAGCTATTTGAAAGCGTGCAAGGAGCGGTTGATTGAGGAGCAAAAACATTTAAACACTTATGTTTAAATAAATAAGCAGACAAATAAAATGTTGTCCATTGAATACAAAAATATATAAAGCAATTCAACTTCAGTTAGTTTTCCAGGAGCATTTGCTAAAGCAGAACACCCAATTCATTTGCCTATTTAATAACCACAATACACCACTGCAGTGAAAAATGCATTGTGTAAATACATTAAGGTATATTTTGATTTAAAGCTTTCGTGACTACAGTGATTCATATTATTGGTTCTTTCAACGTGACTTTACCGAAAGAACCAAGAATATACATTAAGGTATATTTATACTGATGAAAAGTGGTGTGTTTTTATGTGTATTTATATAGATGTACCATCATCATTATTTTATATTCAACATTTCGCAAGTATCAACGCAAAACTAACTCTGCAAATTACGTTCCGCTGCGCCGGGTGATTGTGTCGTATCATCGCTGTCCATTCCAGAGGAAGCTCCATAGATCAGACAAGGATGGAGGGGTTTTTAGTTTGAGCCAGAGACCTGGCATAAACAGAATGAGTCGCACATTTGACCCGAACCGTTAACCCTGACCCCCGAACTTAACCCTAGTCGTCCGTGTGTCGTCCGATCAGTGGACGCATAATAAGCGTTTCCTAACCGGGGTTAGGATGAGAGGTTATAGAGAAGTTGATTTGGCATCAATCGCTCATCTCCAGGGGCTATGGGGCCGTCCATAAATGACGTCACGCACCGGGGGGGGGGGGGGTCAGACATTTGTGACGATGTGTGACGAGGGGGGGGGGGGGTTGAGAAATGTGACGTCACATCAAAATGCGCAACTTTAAATAAATATAGACAACACGTTCTACTTAATTAAATAGACTTTTTAATAAATGTTTTCTCCTACAACATCAGAGTGCAGCGGCACATTAAATACGCACTACAATGACAATAGTTTAAAGCGATTTGAAGCATGTTTTATATTTTTTTGGAGAGGGGGGCAGAGCTTTGTCATATTTGAGGGGGGGTCTGACTTTTTGTGACGCCGTGTGACGAGGGAGGGGGGGGGGGCAAAAATCGTCCAAAATCGCGTGACGTCATTTATGGACGACCCCTATGGCTAGGGTCGGGATCGTGTTCTCCAGAGCTGGATCGCAATCGATTACACAAAGCGGCTGAATCACCATTTCGTTTTGATTTCATCATTCACTCATGTATGTATGTATATATCTCTCCGGATGTATTATTCGCCTGCTCCAAGCCTCCCCAGCATCTCCTGGGCCTCTCTCGCGATGTGGGATGCCGTGGTGCGTGCGCCGTTACTGCTGCCGTTACTCCTGATGTTCAGGTGAGTCCCGTGAAGTATGGAACGCATTCTTACGTACCTCCGATTAAGTACGGCTGGCTACGTACGGTGCGAAAGAAGTTCAACATACGTACGTACATTACGATTTACATCCATTTTATTTTACAGGTATCTATTTCCCAATTATTATTGTTCTATTCCCCTTGTGCTATCGGCGTTATGTCAGTGCAACCCTCAATTTTGAAATGACGGCCCACGGAAGTGGATGTTACAGAACTACCTCTGAGATTATCTTCAAGGTATGTCTGGTGCACACAGTAGGGGGGAAGCACTTTCGCACCCGCTTTGCGTCATTGTGTGAGCAATGTTCGTCACGTGACAGTCAAAACGAATTTTTTTTTTTATTCTCAGAGGTGGAATTTAAGCCGAAAATTAAGTGCAGAACCAAACTTAATGCTATGGCTTTTTCATGTGTGCGCAATCACTGGGCTGAGACCATCAACCCACTACATGTAAGAGAGCCCCAGATTTTATAACAGGCAACCCAGATCCCACTGTCAGCAATCGAGCATGACATTTTTGCTTCAAGGAAGATGTGGCCAGATTAATAAAAAAGTAAAACCTGTCACGTTGCCCATAGACTACAGAGTCATGCGGTAGCACGCGAATGATGCTCGTTCCACCCAGCCACGCACCACACGTCTCAGCCCAACCTCATCTCCTGCTTCACAAAGCTGCACGGTGACATACGAGTGAAAGTATGGCCAAACAAACCACTACCCCCCCCCCCCCTCTACCGTCTCTCCTCACCGACACGTCGGGGAGACGCCTCCATCCAGCAGTGGATTCACAAAAGGGCTGTAGTAATGCTGTAATGTATATGCATGTTGAATTTATTTACGCACGGTACGTAGCCAACCGTGCTAATCGGCAGTGCAGGGGACGGACAACAAACTAAATACAAGAAGCAGTTCTAAAGAAATGAGCTTTCAATCTATACGATTTTTTAAAAAAAGTGTATAGCTCCGGTGGCTTCCTAACATCAAAAAGGAGAGCGTTCCAGACGGCCGCGGTGACCGTCTTTGTTCGATGGCCAAGCCAAGCCAAAATGCCGCCGCTGCTGTGATGATTACCGGAGCTCGCGCGACATCACGGACGCAACTCTGACGCAAATTGCAGCGGCCAGAGCGAGCCCAGCCCGAGGCACGCCGAGACCCTCCCACCGACCGTGCAGAAGCTCATGAAGGGCTACAACCGCTACCTGAGGCCTTCGTTCGAAGGTAAGAGCATCCACGCGCGTGTGATTTGTGTCTCTCCGCGCGAACTCGGATCGCTCGAAGGGACATTTGCGGGTGTGCAACTCTGATCCTTGCGACGTGTGGTATCGACAGTTCAGTTTGAATGTGCGATGTTATTGAGGGGCTTACTGTGTCGTTGTCTTGGTGTGCTCTGGGACTGGTTTTCTTGCTGTTTTGTTTTTCCCAAAGCTTGCATTTAGTGTTGGGAAAATCGTCAGGGATTTATTAACTTATTCAATTCGTAATCATATAATTTATTTATATTCAATTACTTTTAGTGACTTGCTTACCTTTTCTCTATTCTGCACTCCTATGGGTTTTTGTGTTTGTTTGGTTTGTTGTTGTAACTTGCTGACCCGCCCCTGCTGGATATCTGTGAAAAAGAGCTTCATAGCTCACCGGAATCCTCCTCCTGTTCCTCCTCCTCCAGTCGAAATAAAAATTCAGATTCTGAGACGCAACCCTGTCCCCAGAAAAAAAACTCAAGTCAGGGCAAACCACGTGCACCTTCACGCGTCGAGCTGATCCCATCGCTCCGTCTCCTTATCTTATTTTATATTTATAGGGCGCGCTGTTGTGCGCGATAGGAATGGATTGCGACCGAATCACCACCGATCGTGCAGGTATTAGCCAATCACAAAAGAGCAGGCGGTTCACACGACGAGACACTAAACAATGGGATTACGCGATCCACGGATCGTTTGCCAATGAATAGAGGCAGCGAGGAACCCTCGATTAACCCTCGACGAAACGATACAGTGATGACGCAGTGATGGATTCTCGATTGTTCTGTGATTCAGCGCCTTTAATCAATGCGCTTGAAATAATAATAATACAAATATACGTTTTTAAGCAAACAGATCATTGTGATGGCAGGGGCTTTCGCGACCGATAATATGATTCGTAATTGATTTGTGGGTCAGATCGCCGCGTGGGAACACTGCCAACGTGCGTCGGATAGCCTCCTCCGCCCACCCGACACAGCCAAGCAGATATACAACTGTCGCGTGACTTTCGTCATTTATTTGGCTGCGTCGGGTGGATGAGGATCGCACGACACACATTCTGGCACTGTGCTCGTGCGATCTCGCCCACAAGTCGGTGATGCATCTCACAATGGATCCCGCGTGCGCGCATTGACGGAGGGGGGTTGTCGTTCAGAACCTAGAAATTTCGAAGCAAAGCGCAGCGATCGCCGTGTTCGACTGAGCGTGGCTTTGCGGATTCCCCGCGCGCTCGGAGCCGAAAGGTTTCGCGCAGCCAGAGTTCGATTGCTTCGCTGCGCCAACTCCTACTCCACCGACCCATGGAGAGCGAACAGCTCCCTCCTTAGTTCTCGACTCCCCGCTGACCCTGACCCTGGGCCAGAAAACCCGCGTCTCCCAGTGCGAAGAGGGAGCGCTGCCCCCCCCCCACCCTCGTTCCTATCTCACACGAGGTCCGTGACCTCTGACAAACGAAGCCGTTTGACGGAGCTTCAATCACGCCGCCTCAATAGAACTCTCTCTCTCTCTCCCCGGCGCAGAAATGTGGGGCAGTGGGGGCAGGGGTACGCTGAAGGTTTCGTAATTGAACTTGAATTTCTTTACGTGACCTCTGCTCTGTTTATGACCTTGTGGCAGTTCAATTCCGTCCGCCGCGGCGCCTCGCACCCAGGAGTGGGAACACTCATGACGACCCCGTTGGTTATAAATTGGTTCCGCGCCCAGCCAAACGAACATCCGATGCGGCGTGGAGCCTCTCCTAGGTTCGCTCAGCCTTGAAACGAGTGTCACGGGCAGATGTTAGTAACAACACCTGCGGCCAGCTGCGTACAATCTGCCAAGTGAAATCTCACCTCAGTTCACACACTGATCGACATCGCAAACTCACGGAGCATTTCACTGCCACGCAACAGATCACTCGTGTGTTATTACGATGATGTACGTATGTATGTTGGACTTCCTTCGCACCGTACGTAGCCGACCGTGCTCATCGGAGGTGCAGGGGTGAAGGACAAACAAACACGCAAAAAAACAGTTCACAAAGCGCGCCTTCTCTGCACGAACACAAAAATATTTTTCCAAATGTTGCTCCCATTGTGCCGAGACAAAGGTTCCGTTTGCAACTCTCGGTTAACAGTCGCTCACTCCGTGTATTGGAGAACGATTTGTGGCGGGCGGGGAGGGGGCGGACATCGCCAAATTGCTTCTGAGATCCACCCGAGTGACCTTTTTTCTCCTACCCACGCTTTCCCACACCCTCTGCTGGAGGGAAACGTTCATCACAGGGTATTCACGCCGATACGTTTACATTTAGCTCAATCAAAACAAACGTAATACGACGTTTGTCGTGTAGATATTGATAACTGAGCTGAGACCACGAACTCATCGCACGCGAGAAGCCGACTTAATCATGGGTGGCTGAAACACAGATCTGAACCCAGGATTCCGGCGTTGTTGCCGACCCGTGGCTCTGACCCCGTGGCTCTAACCACGTGGCTCTAACCCCCTGGCTCTGACCCCCTGGCTCTGACCCCGTGGCTCTGACCACGTGGCTCTGACCCCGTGGCTTTGACCCCGTGGCTTTGACCCCGTGGCTCTGACCCCGCGGCTCTGACCCCGAGCCACCCTACCGCCCAACCATGCTTGTGTCCGTAAATCGTTCTCTGGTTTGAGGTACCGCCCACCCGAAGCTCTAACTGTGACACCGCGTGGCTTCAGGGACTCGCAGTTAACGGAGCTTTTGCCCGCGCGTGCGCGGGGACCCTGTGCAGAGGGATCCGTGGTGGTCGGCATGAGTCTGGACATCGCCAGCATCGACAGCATCTCGGAAATCAACATGGTACGAGCATATATATATACACACACACGTGCATATATAACGTGACGCAATTTTACCATTCAATTCCCTTCATGTTCCATCTTCAACTGATTTTTGCTGGCCGCTTGAGATATTGAACCCCTGGGCCTGTGGTCAGCAACCGTGTTAAAACACAACAACAACAACAACAGCCGCCTCGAGAAAACCAACTCGGCGACGAGCGCACGGACTTTGCTGTATGCACGCACGTTGAACTTCTTTCGCACCGTACGTAGCTAACCGTGCTTATCGGAGGTCGTCGCGATCGTTGTAACTAAGGCACCTCCTCTCCGCCGTGTCTCCCACTCGCCGAGCATTAACGCGCCGGCCGCCCGCGCGTTAAATATTGCCACTGCAATTTACAAAACGACGATCGATTGCCACCTGGCAGACCAAAAAGCCCCGACGCTCCGCGGCGCCGTCAATCCACCGTCGTTGCGCGACGCCTCCATATCCATCGCGGCCGAGGGATTGTTTTCTTTGAGTGCGCGGAACGACGCCGATCGAGGAACCGCGGCGTCGCCACCGGGAGCTTGCTTGAGCGCTCGTCTTGATAGACGCATCCAATGGAGGGGGTGGCGGTGTGGGAGGGGGGTGATCACCGGGGTGATGGAGGCGCGGGTGCTGATTGGGGGGGGGGGGGGGTCACAAGCGGTGGTGTTCACTTCCACTGAGCGAGATTTAATGGACGCAGGCGCGGCTGTGAACGGGCGGCAGCATCGTGATTGTGCGGTGGCCTATCCCGCGTCTCCAATGCCGATTAGCGCTGCTGTTACCATTCATTATACAATATATTGGGGGGGGGGTCATCTTTATCCACAATTTTACCCTAATTGCTCTTTGGGTATTATGTCATTCGAGATATAGGTATCAATTTGGATCTCCAACGTGGCGTGTTTACCTTCCCACACCTCCCATTATCACGGTTGGCCTCGTACGGTGCCAAAGAAGCTCAACGTACACACGTGATGGTGTGCCCTCGCGTGCCGGCACATTGTCACCACCCCCCACGCCACCCCGACCGTGCCTCGCCACATTGACGCTTCTCTTTCTGGCGGGGCAGGACTACACGGCCACCATCTTCCTGCGACAGCGCTGGGTGGACGAGCGGCTCTGCTTCGATGCCAACAAGAGCCTGAGCCTGGACGGGCGGCTCGTCGAGCTGCTCTGGGTGCCCGACACGTTCATCGTGGACTCGAAGCGCTCCTTCCTGCACGCCGTGACCGTGGAGAACCGCCTCATCCGCATCTTCCCCAACGGCACCGTGCTGTATGCGCTCAGGTCCGAAGCAACCGCCACCGCCGGGCGCGGGCATGGAGAATGGGGGCCAAACTCACCACGGCAGAGTGGCCACTCAGGATGCCACCTTGTTCACTGTAGGCCAAACTCACCACGGCAGGGTGGCCACTCAGGATGCCACCTTGTTCACTGTAGGCCAAACTCACCACGGCAGGGTGGCCACTCAGGATACCACCTTGTTTACTGTAGGCCAAACTCGCTACGGCAGGGCGGCCACTCAGAATGCCACCTTGTTCACTGTAGGCCAAATTCACCACGGCAGGGTGGCCACTCTGGATGCCACCTTGTTCACTGTAGGCCAAACTCACCACGGCAGGGTGGCCACTCAGAATGCCACCTTGTTCACTGTAGGCCAAACTCACCACGGCAGGGTGGCCACTCAGGATGCCACCTTGTTCACTGTAGGCCAAACTCACCACGGCAGGGTGGCCACTCAGGATGCCACCTTGTTCACTGTAGGCCAAACTCACCACGGCAGGGCGGCCACTCAGGATGCCACCTTGTTCACTGTAGGCCAAACTCACCACGGCAGGGCGGCCACTCAGGATGCCACCTTGTTCACTGTAGGCCAAACTCACCACGGCAGGGCGGCTACTCAGGATGCCACCTAGGCCACTGTTGACCAAACTCGCACCACTTTTCTCAGCCAGCGATATCTGTCAGTAACTAAACTAAACTTTTTTTATTTTATCAGATAAGACCCACGTAACTATAAAGTTATTTTTCAGAAGCGACCTGGCCACAAATGATAGCTCAACGAAGTGGCTGGCTTGTTATGTGGAAATTGATTGCAGACTACTCTAAACGCATGTTTCTAAATGTGGAGGGAAAAACCGGAGGACCTGGATAAAATCCACACGACCACAGGGATAGCATGCAAACTTCAAATATGCAGGTGTCTGGGTTGGGATCGAACCCACAACGTCCTGTATACCATGCGAGGTAGTTAACATCACGCCACCCTGGTGCCCATCTCGCCACCGCAATGTTTAGTGAAATTCCACGACCAAATATCGGTACAAATCGATTCCATGCCACGGGGACACACACCCAGTTAAGTGTGCAATGTGCATGTTCGAGGGTCATTTCTCAAATTTGCCAAATTTGTACCATGATGCCAACGCACAACGGTCTACTCTTGCGAATTACGTCACGGGATCTTTGATGTTCGCTGTGAAGCAGATGGCGTAGAAGTAGAGTCACGTCCTGGCCAATGGAGTGAACACGACTGCAAAAATGAGAGAGAACGAACGAGGCAGTCAAAATTAGACGAAGAGAATCGTCGAATCATGATGCCACGAACCGTCTGATGATAAATCATTGAAGTTACTGACAATTTTTATTTTACAAATCAATGTCTATCTCCCCAGTCCTCCCAATACAAGACAGAATGAACCGGGGGAAACAATACAAATGACACGCTTAGAACCATTGAAAACTCGTGTTAAAATGAGGAAGGGTCCTCATTTGCGATCTTGCGTAATGCTCACTGTGCTCCCTGTCTCACGCCGCTCCTAGGCAACCTCGTGCTTTGCCACAGTGACTGCGAGGTCTCAAATCGCTGCCTTTAGACTCTGATCATGTTCAACCAAGCTTTGAGATCCATTTGTTTTCATGTGCATATATGGCTGAAATGTGATATTTATATGGCTTTATGCTTCCTGACACAGCTTACTTTCAATACGTACCTAACTTTCTCCGGGTCCGCTTGCTCTTATATTTGCACCGGTGTTTTTAATTTGTTTCTCCTCCCGCGTGCGCGTGTTTCATGTACAGCCGTTAAATACCTCGCTTGTCAGTCCTCGCGCTGCTGTACTCGTGCACCACAGACAGATCTCCCTGGCAAAATATCCCGTGGCAGCCGGCTAAAACGGGGCCGGCCGGCCGTGTAGAACGAAACAAAGTAAACTCGGCGGCTATGGCGCAGATAGCCCGTTGCCCATCTTTCTATCCCCGTGCCTGTCAAAATCGGGTTGGATTGTGTTGACGGTTGACGGTTGCGTGTGCGTCATAACGTGATGTAACGGGCCCGCTACACAGTGCCTCGACACAAAAAATAAACGCACGAAAAGCACTCAGCTAAACCGTGCGGCGTCTGTCTGTAGACTCCGGTCGCAGCCTTTCGGCCGCCAGGAGTAAATGTTGATCGCGTTGTGTACATTGCTCCTTCCGCACCCCCACGCAGAATAACTGCGACGGTGGCGTGCAACATGGACCTCACCAAGTACCCGATGGACAAGCAGTCGTGCACCCTGCAGCTGGAGAGCTGTGAGTCCGGCACTCGCTCATGCGGCTGCGTGCTGCGCTATCGCCTCGCGCGTGTGAGCGGTGGCGTAGCGGTCAGCGCGCTGCGAACCCGGCAAACCCAATTTTCGATTCCCGCTCACGGCCAACACCGGTGACGATTATCCGAACCGGTCCTGGGCCTCCTCAAATGACTACCTGGTGTGATGTGTTAACATCGCCACTCGGGAAACTAAGGTGGCCGGGCATGGTGCTGACCACCCACCCCCTCGCGTGCCATATCGCCCTTCATAGGCGCTACTTACAAATGGCACTTGCCCCGACACTGTTTCGGGCTATACGGGGCACGCTTGTCTTTGTGTGCGTGTGCCGCAGGGGGCTACAACACGGACGACATGGTCTTCTACTGGACGCGAGGCAACGACTCCGTGCGTGGTCTGGAGAACCTCCGCCTGGCCCAGTACACGGTGGAGGAGCAGTTCACATCCGTGTCTGAGGCCGTGTACGAGACAGGCAAGATGGGGACGGGCACGCGGACATGGTCAAATCGTCTCGCGAGAGTCGAACCGTCCGCGTTGTTGTGCCTGGATGGGGGACTGCCCGGAGATACTTGACACGATTGGGCTACGAGACGCATTTCGCGTGAGAAACAAAACGGGGAGCGAACGTTTCGTTTGTTTACAATCTTCCCTTTGATCCGTTGATCTTTTTTTGGCCCACACGAGTTGCAATCACATCTGAAGCCCATTAAAACTATGAAACGGCGTGTGACGGTAAGTTTGTATTTTTAACGCGGTGAGAACTCAAGAGACCATCACAGTCTCATTTGCGAGGGTGACCTGCGGGCATGGGTCTGCCAATAGGGGGGGGGGGGGTGGGGAGGCGATGATTGCCGCTGTGTTCGTGTAATCCGTAATGAGTCATCTGCTCGGTCATTTTCGAATTTGGCAAATTTGGACGCTGACGCCAGGGGATCTTTAACGTCTGCTGTGAGTTAAGCAGGCGGCGAGTAGTAGTAGTTGCTTGTTTATAACGGTTATTGCAACTGTGGTAAAACTACTACTACAATTGCATGTTGCCAGGTAAGGCCCGCAGAGCTTCATTGCACTTTTTCAGAAGCGACCTGGCCATCACAAATGATATCTCAACGGAATGGCTTCTTATCATCACGTGGAAATGTATAGCAGCCAAACGCTCTAAACGCATGTTGATTCTAAATGTGGAGGGAAAAACCAGAGGACCCGGAGAAAAAATCCACGCCACCGCGGGGAGAGAGACACGCAGACTCCACATATTTAGCGTGCGTCATGGTTGGAATCGAACCCACGACCTCGGGTATACCTGGCAATGCAATTCCCATCTCACCACTGCGGCTTGCCCTGGCAATATCCAGGGCAAGCCGCTGGATTTGAACCGCGAACGCACAGCGACAGAAGGTGCTACTGGGCCGTGATGTCGCCACCCCGCGATGTTGTCCCGTCTCGGCGTTTGGTGCCCGGCGCACGCAGGGCGCTACCCGAAGCTCGTCTTCCATTTCGTGCTGCGGAGGAACATCCTATACTTCATCCTGGAGACGTACGTGCCCTCCATCCTCCTAGTCGTCCTCTCCTGGGTCTCCTTCTGGATCAGCCAGTCCTCCGTGCCAGCTCGCATCTGCATCGGTGAGCGGTGGAGGGGGGCGGGGGGGGTGGGGGGCGCGTTCTGTGGTGGTGCCGGCCCCATTGAGGGCCCGCGACAGAAATTATTTTTGAAGGCCACCCCACGCACCCCGCCCTGTCCTCTGCCAGTAGTTCACAACCGGGAGTACATGGACCGCTAGTGGTAATGGCAGTGCTCAATATGCTTTACATTATCGATGTTCGTTATTCGTACATTTATTTATTTCTCAGAATCATGATGGGTCAGGCAAGGGGGGGGGGGGGGGCACTCGGTTGAAACAAAAGCCAACAAGGGGTAGAGTAGCCAAAAAAAGGTTTAGAACCACTGTCCCACGCTATCAATGAGCGACTGGCTTCATGCGTGGGAGGGACGCAAATTCGCTGGGAAAAGAACCCACCAATCGCGCGAGGGTGTGGTTACCCATCAGAGCCATCTGATCCTGGCCACCTATTCCTTTCCAGGTGCAAATTTCTTTCGACGTTTTAAGCACCAATGGGTGGCCCCGTCCTCAAAAAGCCCACCACGAATGCGAGTGGCTAACATCCAAAATTCCACGCGGATGGATTGAACGGCTCATCGCCATCTCCTGGCTGCTTCGCGCAGAATTTTTTTTTTTTTTTTTACAGGCGGGCCCCCATCGTTTCCCACCCGCCACCCGTCAGTAAGTCAATTTCTCCGGGCTCTTCTGTGTCCGCCGCCGTCGCGCGCAGGCGTCACCACGGTGCTCACCATGACCACGCTGATGATGGGTGCCCGCGCGTCGCTGCCCAACGCCAACTGCTTCATCAAGGCCATCGACGTCTACCTGGGCATCTGCTTCAGCTTCATCTTCGGAGCGCTGCTCGAGTACGCGGTGGCTCACTTCTGCACGCTGCACCACCGCGACGCGGCGACGCCGGTGAGATGAGACGCACGCGCCTCTGTGTGTGTGTGTGTGTGCGCCGATTCTAACTTCGTCTTTTTGTGTTGGGTCTATGAGTGTGTGCGTGCGGTAGCGTAGCGGCGAGCGCGCCGCCCTACGAACCCGGCGACCCGAATTCCATTCCCGCTCACGGCCAACACCAAGTGACGATTATCTGAATCGTCCCTGGGCCTCCCCTAAGTCGACTCAGCCTCAAATGAGTACCTAGTACCGTGTGTAAAAATATCGCCACTGGAGAGACAAAAGCGGCCGGGCGTGGTGCTGGCTACCCACCCCATCGTGTACCGTTGTGCCCCTCATAGGTGCTCGCTAACATCACTCAGGCTACAGTATATGGGGGATTTTTGTGTTTGTGTTTGTGTGAGTGTGTGGGTGGTGCATCTGCCAGTCATCTCAATCAGTCAGCCCATGGCACCTAGGTCTATCCCTCCTGCCAGCGAGCCTTCGACACTTCACGTGGCCTTAAAGTTCACATAGCCTGACAGAAGCTCTGCAGTGATGTCACTGCCACTCAGTGGCGAATGGTGGTTATTGTTGTTGTTGTTGTGCGTGTGTGTGTTCCTTTATCCCCCCCCCCCCCCCAGTGTTTACACCTTCATCGGTCCTTGCTCACAGCACTTGTCCCAAAGAGTCTGTTAAGGGCTATACGTGGGATCTGTGTGCGTGCCTCCATCCAGGACGACCTCTCCCACGACGACGGTGGCCGCGACAGGAACGGCAGCGTCTCCTCCATCTCGCGCGCGGACGCCGACGCGGAGCGACCCGCACGCCGCTCCGCCTCCTCCAGAGCCGCGTCCGCCCGGGACGCGCCCCCACTGCCGACGGACGGGAGCCGACCGCCCCCCGGGGTCGTCTCGGTGCCCCTCCGGGCTGTGTGGCCCGCGACCCGCGCTGCAAGTCGCCGAGCCGGCGGGATCTGCACCGTCCGGAACCCTCAACACATCGACAACTACTCCAGGACGGCCTTCCCCCTCCTGTTTGTACTCGTCAACCTCCTCTACTGGTGCTACTACTTGTTCGTCTGATTTCTCATCCTCCCCGTCCTCGTGGAGGGAAGGGGCCTTCCCTCCGGCGTGGCCGAATTTCGCACACGGGGCCATTCGCGAGCGGCCGGCCGGCCCGCACCACCGCCCAGGGAGGCGGGACGCTTTATTTCGGAGAGCAAAAAGAGGTCGCGGGCGGAGTGAGCATCAGAAGCGAACACAAAATACGGTGAACAGCGCATTCACAGACACACACACATCGCAGTGGGAGGGAGGGAGGGGAGCGAGCAGCTTCGGGGTAGAATATTCTAAACTAGCGCTAGCCCTACTACGCCTGACTCTCAGTAACTCGCCAATCACACACGGCTACTAGCCCTCCCACTAACCCTAACCTGAACCAATTAGCCAATCACACACGGCTACTAGCCCTCCCACTAACCCTAACCTGAACCAACTAGCCAATCACACACGGCTACTAGCCCTCCCACTAACCTGACCTGAACCAACTCGCCAATCACACACGGCTACTAGCCCTCCCACTGACCTGAACCAACTAGCCAATCACACACGGGTACTAGCCCTCCCACTAACCTGAACCAACTCGCCAATCACACACGGCTACTAGCCCTCCCACTAACCTGAACCATCTAGCCAATCACACACGGCTACCAGTCCTCCCACTAACCTGAACCAACTTGCCAACCAGACACGGCTACCAGTCCTCCCACTGACCTGAACCTGAACCAACTTGCCAACCAGACACGGCTACCAGTCCTCCCACTAACCCAACCTGAACCAACTAGCGATTACAAAAGTGTCGTGATATGCTGAGCACAATTAGGTTCAGGGCATCTGGCACAACAGGGTAATGGTGTTTATACCGATCTAGGAAGTTGTGCGTATTGTTGTGCACAGTTGTAACGATAAGCGATTGCCGTTGTTTACAATTACACTGTGTAACAATGTTTTTTGTATCCCTGGGTAGTAAGTGGTATTTTCTAATTGCGTATGCCTCAAAAGTACAGAAAATGGCTATTCCCCACAAACTTTGCTTTTGTGACCAGGACAGTGATATTTTGAAATTTACCTATTTTCCAGAACATTCCAGATAGATTCAGTGCTGAGTAAACTTGGAGTAACTTCTAGAAAATTCTCGAACTTTCCAGTAATATAAATAGTAGTATAACGGCAGGTGCCTTAAGCCCACCAGTTCAGTTTAGTTCCAGCTGCCTAAGTGGATACATATCTGCATTTTTCTGAGATGGCATCAAGAGGCTGCAAGCATCCGACAGACGCATTTTGCTATTTCTGCGGCCAATTTATCAAGACAAGAGCGAAAAAGTACTTTATGGAAGCGTCTGATAAGATGTGTGAGGCCTACAAAGCATATTTCGGCATGCCTGTCAGGGATCAAGACAAACCCTGGGAACCTCATTTCACCTGCAAGCAATGCATAAACACTCGGGAAGGTAAGATGGACAATTGTTGCTCGGAATTTTAGGTTATAAAATGTGTTAAAATGTTTTTTTATGTTTTACAATTTTTAATGTTATTGAACAAAAAATATATGAAAAATGTTGCGAGAATCTCTTACACATTAGTCATGGGTGAAATAAATGTATTTTTGTAGGATGGTACAGAGGGGAAAAGAGAGGCATGAAGTTCGCTATCCCAAGAATTTGGCAGGAACCCACTGACCACTCAAGCAACTGCTACTTCTGCATGGTGGACCCTTCCAAACGTCGGACTGGCAAGAATGCATCTGATATCACGAATCCGGACCTTCCTTCATCCATCGCCCCGGTGCCACACTGCCATGAGCTCCCCGTACCCACTCCTCCAGAGAGAGAGAGAGCAGCCGTCTTTAGAAGAGAGCAGCAAGTCAGAGAGCGAGGAAGACGTAGATCCAGATGACAATTTCAGGGGTAGAGCTGAGGAGAGAAACCCATACTACCCCAACCAAAAATAACTCAACGACTTGATCAGAGATCTTGGTCTCACCCAGTCCAATGCCGAGCTTTTGACGTCTAGGCTGAAACAGTGGAACTTGTTGGATACAAGCGTGCAAGTCGCAGGTCAGAGGAAGCGTCACCAACCTTTTTGCAGCTTCTTCACCCATCCAGATGGGCTTTGCTTCTGCCACAATGTGACCAGTCTATTCGAGGCAATCGGAATCCCCTGTGACCAGAATGAGTGGCGCCTCTTCATTGACAGCTCATCCAGGAGCCTCAAAGCCGTGCTGCTCCATAATGGTAACAAGTACCCGTCTCTTCCCCTGGTTCACTCAGTGCACCTCAAAGAAGATTACAACAGCATCAAGACATTGTTGGACGCCTTGAAGTATGATGAGTACGGCTGAGAGGTCATCGGAGACTTCAAAATGGTGGCATTCCTGATGGGTCTCCAAGGCGGTTTTACCAAGTTTCCCTGCTATCTTTGCCTTTGGGACAGCAGGTACACCAAGGCGCACTACCACAGGTGGGACTGGCCACAGCGAACGAGTTCTCTGTGAGGAGGAACAACGTCAAGTGGGAGCCACTGGTGGACCCCCAGAAGGTGCTGATGCCACCACTGCACATCAAATTGGGCCTTATTAAACAATTTGTCAGAGCTGTAGATAAGGAGTGGGCAGCCTTCAGGTACCTTTAATACTTCTTCCCTAAGCTATCTGAGGCAAAGGTCAAAGCCGGCGTCTTCGTCGAACCACAGATAAAGAAGATCCTGGAGTGCAATTAATTTCCCAAGAAGCTCACTAGTAAGGAGAAAGCGGCTTGGAACAGCTTTGTCGCAGTGATTCGTGGCTTCCTGGGCAATCACAAGGTCGAAAACTACGTGGAGCTGGTTGAGACTGGTGAAGAACTATGGCACAATGGGCTGTAGGATGTCCCTCAAAGTCCATATCTTTGATGCTCGTCTTGATAAATTCAAGGAGAACATGGGAGCGTACTCAGAGGAGCAATGCGAGCGCTTCCACCAGGATATACTGGACTTTGAACGCCGCTACCAAGGACAGTATAACGAGGGCATAATGGGAGACTACATTTGGGGGCTGATTTGTGAAAGTGATTTACAGTATGATAGTAAATCTCAAAAAACTACTCACTTATAAATCTTTTGTCGTAATTTTTTTATTACTTTAGTATAAATACATGTTATTTTTTATTCATTTTTTTTTTTACGTGAACGAAAAGACTCAAATTTGCCAGCTTTCTCATTGAAAATAGGTACATTTAAAAATATCACTGTCCTGGTCACAAAAGCAAAGTTTGTGTGGAATAATAGCAATTTTCTATACTTTTTAGACATAAGCAATTAGGAAAAAAACCCAGGAACAAAAATTGTGTTACATAGTGTTATTATCATTATTTTCCTTGTCTTTGACCAGGTATAATTTTGTACAATCACCCTAATTATGACCATCATCGATTAAGAGTGGCCATTATCAAGTGCATGCTTCCATATCGGGCTTAATCTCTCATTGGATATCTCACCACTGCATGCTAGGCCGGCATGGAATAAGGCACTATCACGAGAGTGCAAGGTACGTCTGTATTTAATGATATCTATAATATTCTTGGTTCTTTCGGTAAAGTCACGTAGAAGGGAAACAATACAATAATAAAAATATAAAACAATACAATTCTCACGACGTTTCGACTGCAACACAAGCAATCATCATCAGGTGTGAAAACCACAGCAAGCAAATTTGAAAAAAGTGGCGGTTTTTTTAACGTTAGCACCACGGAGACCGATTTGGCAGTTTGTTCCGATGGACGAGGCCATCAATGTTCGGAAAAGAGGAGGGGGGAGACGACAATAATGGATGCGGTCTGAAAGCCACCGTAAGCGTGAACAATCAATCAAGACCCGAAATGGTTTATCAAATCCTTCCAATGATTGCTAAGCCAGAATCCATCTTTTCGGTTGATATTGTCTCTGTGTTTGTATATGTGGATAGCCTCATGAACGAATCTCTCATGGTAGCCAGATGGCTTGCAAAGAAACGTCGTGAGAATTGTATTGTTTTATATTTTTATTATTTTATTGTTTCCCTTCTACGTGACTTTACCGAAAGAACCGAGAATATGAATCCCTGCAGTCACGAAAGCTTTAAATCAAGATATCTATAATGTTGTACCCTTAATGATTCCTACTCTGTCACAGTCTCGTGAGGACAACACAGGGCCAAACTGATGTGTGACGTGCCAAAGTAAATACTGGAACAGCGTTCCAGACTGCTCTGGCTGAAATTAAGCCCTGCTTCCATCGCTATCGTTTGGAAAGCCTTGTTTATTCTCAATATTAATATTAATTGTAACTTTTGCGTGATTTGTTCTGTTCAGTATGCACTGGAAAAATCTATAATGCGATGTGATTTTTTACATATATGTTGCAGTATGAATATGAATTACAATCCCACACATTATTTATTTAGATCACACACGTAACTTATGTAAGGCATATATTTATTTGTACATACGTGAATTAATTTATGAATATTACATTGAGATGTGCAGGCTGGACGTTAAGTCATACTGTCAGTTACCCCACCCTTGAAATTAGGTCAAGGGAATAGGTCAATAGGTCATGATAGCTACTGCCACTGATGACCTCTCGACCTCAGTCCTTGTCACCCATCACGGGCCTACGTTTGCGTGGTTGCCAAATGTGTGCCCTTCAAATACGATTCAAAGTCACTACACGCTGCACGCGCCCAATGATTGGTGAATAATGTTACCTCTTAAATTTGTACCAGCGCTCTTTACGTCACGCGGTACACAAACATACAAAGAACAGACTGTTGGGGCAAGTGCTGTTAGCGAGCACCTATTAAGACACGGCGCACAAGTGGGCAGCACCACGCCCGGCCACCTTTGTCTCCCTGGCGATGTTTACACACTGCGATAGGTATTCATTTGAGGCTGAGTCGACCTAGGGGAGCGCCAGGACCGGTTCAGATAATCGTCGCTGGTGTAGCCCGTGAGCGGAAATCGAACTCGGGTTGCCAGGTTCGTAGCGCGGGCGCACTAACCACTACACTACCGCTCCCCACACCGTGGCACACACACACGTAATTTGCATCAGTGCTCGTCACGTGTGTGTGGCTTACATGATGACCAAGTATGAATCAGCACTTCCTTAAGTGTCACGTGGAAAGTATCCGTTGCACATCAAGGGCGGGCAGCGCGTGACAACTCGTATTTTTAAACGAACATGTTACGTGGTAAACATGCAAAAGGCGGACCGTGGTGAATCGCTGCGAGGATTGATCGGAGGTATCGAGAAAACATCTGTACTCTCATATCCAGATTGTGTTGTAATACAGGGCAGATCCATTTATAGACACCCCGCCTATTTCTGATGTCGCCTAGTCTTCTAAACTGCCGATTGAATATTGTGAAATAGTGTAATGAGATTGGCGGAAGACGTCTCGAAGGCTTTGAGATTAAATGTCTTCTCTGTAGGCTGATTGAATCCCGATTACTTCAGTGGGGGTATCTATCAATGGCTGACTCAGTCATGTTTTTTGCCAACGTCTGATTTGACGAC